AGCAGCACCCCTCCCCCACCTCGCCAAGCCTCAGAGGTACTGACATACGTGCCGGGTGGTTAAGAGAGAAACAAACCAACCTACGCCAGGAACTAGATGCTGAAAGGGACCAGTCTGTGGTGCCTGCCAGAATAACAGAGCTTCATGTCCCCATGTGTCATCACAGGAAGCAGGGGACCACGCAACCCGTGCCAAAGCAGCTGGGGCCAGTGTGCCGCCTCGTGAAGCAGGAGAAGGGCTGGCAGGCTGAGCTGGGCAGCTCAAACTGCTCGTCAGGGATGCTGGTTAGGGGCTCAAAGGCCAGGGGCTGCAGGGATAGACTCAAAGGAGCTGGCTAATAGGACACCGGTCTCTGCTGACCCACCCTTGGTGACTTGTGGATGAGGAAGAAAACAGCCCCTGTTGTATCAGTTGGCTTTGCCTTGCTTTCTTTTCTTAATTTTCTTCTTTGCAGACAGGATCTCAGTTATCCCCCCCGCAAGCCTCGAACTCCCTACATTGGAGAAGATAATCCTGAACTCCCAATCCTTTTCTCTCACAACCTCCCAAGTGCTGGGGTTACGGGTGTATGCTACCATGCTGGGTTTATGCGGTACTAGGGTCAACTCCTGGCTTTATGCACGCCAGGCAAACACTCAGTCAAGCTCTTCCTTGCTTTGTTTTGTAGGATACTGCTTGTTTAATGAAATGCCATGGTGGTGAGTATGACTGCACATGACTCACTGTCTGTTGGATTTAGAGTCTTCCCTAAATGCCCATGTGCCAAAGGCTTGGTCCCTAGCTTGGCACTATGGGGAGGGAGTGGACCTTTAGGAGGCAGACTCTAGTAAGAGTTGTTAGATTACTGGGGATATGTTCTCAAAGAGGGCTGAGACTCCACCCTCTCTGTTCTCTTCAGCCAGTCTGCCCCACCACACGTTCCGACCATGAGATGGAATGTCAGGGTGGACTGATCACGGACTGGGCCAAAATAAACCTGTTTACAAACCTACTATTTCAAGTGTTTTGTTACAGAGATAGAAAATTGAACAACACCCCACCCTTGGGGTGTGGAGAAGATGACCTTCAAAGTCAAAGGCAAGACTCCCTGTCTTTGTGTCCCTTCTTCCCGCCCCAACCTCTCTCTCTCTCCTTCCCTCCCTCCTGACTTCCCCTGTCTTTTCTCAGTTTGGAGAGAGTATTCAATTCTGGGATTCCTACTACTTCTGAGAAGACATCAGTGAATTGTGGGGCATCAGGGTGTTGTATTGGTTGGCACCTGGATGAGTGGGCAGATTCAGTCCACATTGATTGTCTGGGATGGGCCAGCCTCTGCCAGCCATGGATTGGAGAGCTGGTGCTCCAGGTGGTACAACTGTAGAAGCCAGGCTTGATCTTAAGGATGCTCAGAGCAGAGAGAGGTGGATGGTTGGTGTCTCTGTCTCCATAAAGTGTCCTCGTTCCCTCTCCATTCGGTGCTTTGGTGAGAGGGAGGAGAGTGAGCCCGACCTTCAGTTTCTGGGGTATACTCATCATCTGTGCCTCCTAGCAACCCCTCCACACATGCCCGCTCCGGTGAGGTCGCTGGAGCCTGCAGTCCCCTTCTGCTTCTGTCAGGAATAGCCCCGCGTCACAGGGGATTTCCAGACCAGTTCGGAGACTGACATCTCCCAGAAAGCCCTGCCCTAGTTGTGTCTGTGTGGTAGGGAAGAGATCTAGGGAGTGGGTAGAGAGAAACTGATCAGGCAAGATCTGGAAGAAGGACATCCTCACCAGCCAGGAGGTTAGCATTCTGCAGGCTTCTTGCCCACCTCAAAGACTGCTTCCTCTGAGGCTACTGGGCTCCTGACCCTCAACCTTCGGGGTGGAGGAGAAGGTTGGCAGGCAGTTGGCATGGTCAGGGCTTGGCTAGATGAACTGTTGGTTTGTTTTTGTTTTCTTCTCCTGCCAATCAAGTTGACTTATTGTTCAGGTTTTCAGCGGTGATTACAGAGACCCTCAGACTTAATCACCGCCAGCTTTAATCAAGAGAGTTGATCATAAGGACGCTCAGAGGATTGATTACAGCTTAATGGATTTATTAGGAGCTAAATAGGCCAGCAAGTAATTGGCTAAGTGAGGCTGGCTTGTTATAGAAAAGGAGCAAAAGCTAAATGCTAGGGGGGGAATGGATCAGGGGGTGCTGGGGGGAGACGCCAAGGAGAGTGGGAAAGAGGGCTGGGACACGCGGAGTGAAATGAGCAAGTGGAATTGTGTGGTCCTAAGGAAAAAGCTTCGGGGGAATCGTTTCCCAGCAAGTCTTAGGAGCTAAACAAGGCGACGAGCTGCTTCCTGATCCTCCTGCCTTCCCTTTGCCACGGTGGACTGTAGGTGGTTTCTCCTCCCACTGCAAAGCAAAAGACTGCCTTCCTCACTGTAGCTGCTTTTTGTCAGGTATTTGATCATGGCAATGAGAAAAGTGACCAATGTGTCCCCAAACACAGCAGCTCCTTCCTGCCAGCTAATTCTGCCTGATTATCTGGGAATAATAACTGTCTCTCCCCTTCTCTGTCTTTATAGGACTGAGGGAAGAGTCTTCATCTACCCTCAGTCCTTGTGGGCATGTGGCCCAACCTCATCCTCTCCAGCCATCCTCACTGCTGGCTGAGTGCTCTCCCCAGCCGACATAGTCATAACGTCAGTTTTAAAGCCTGGGCCCTCGTTCTCCCGTGAAGAGGTGGGCTGCCCTGTATTTAAGTCTGGGTAGGTGGTTGAGTCCCTAACAGAGTTCTGTGGAAGGATGTGACTTCTGGAGGAGAGGGTGTCGTACCTCTTTTGGCTCTGAAGTCTCCATTCTCAGGAGGGCTCCTCTCACAAGTTCCATTTTAGAAACTGGCTACCATATTTTATTGTAAAACGTCCAGGTCATAGGGACACTGAATGGAGGTGACCTGGAGGACCACCCCAGAGGATCCAGCTTTCAAACTCTCTCACTGAAGCCACTGACCTGAGAGTATTTTTAGGAGTGGATCTTATGGTCCCAGCAGTTACAGCCATCAGCCATTTGAGTTGCTCAGGCGCAGATGTGGACACAATGGGGTGGGGTGGGGGAGCTGCCTCTGCTATGTTCGCACTATAGAGTGTGGTCATTTAAGAAATAGCCATGTCAAGCTGCTCAGTTTGAGGGTCACATGTCGCACAGTAGGAATACATAGAACTCTCATGACGCTCTATGCCTACTTAAAACGTCAGTGATTCCGAGACAATAGAATGAAGTCCCCATTCCCCTGCCCTTCAGCATTAGCCAGCTTCCTGTCCACCTTAGCGCTCCAGGCCCCCAGCTTTACCGAATATCTGCATGCTCCCTGCTTCCCTAGGCTCCCGTGTGTTGGCCCCCACAGTGACTCTGCCTGGGTGTGAGGGAGACAGCCAGAGGAAACTGGGGGAATGAAGATCTATTTCCCTGTCTGGGTTCTTTTTCCTCAGGACTAATAATGGTAGAGAGACCTAAAAGCAGGTCCAGGTATTCTGTGATGGAGTATAGTATCCACAGAATGGAGGTTAGTTTCTGGATCTTTAGATGAAATGAGATTTGTGCTCACGGGGTTCTAGACTGAGATCACCTGCATTCACATTTTCATGGATGGCTTCGTGCAGTTACTTAATCTCTCTCTAGTCACTTGCTTCACTTATAAAAGAGGGTCATATGTAATACTTCATAGAGTTAAGGCAGGCCTGACATGTGGATAAGAGTTCAGGATGGTGCCCAGCAGAGGATGTTTTGATAAATGTTAAAATAAAACACACCTGCAGGTAGTTTCCTTTACTCATTAAATCTTGACGTGTGTTACCTTCTTGGAGAGGTCTTAGAAGTTGATAGCTCCCCTACAGCTGGCTCCATGGGAGGGTCTCAGTCACAGCACCTTCGACACCTTCCGCACATCCCGGCCGCCATATTTGCCACTGGCTCTATGGTGCTACCACTGTAATCACGATAATCCTGCAGTTCACCTAGTACACTTTAAACATATTTATCTATTTAGAAGTGCAGTCTCGCTCAGGCTGGTCTTGAACTTGATAGGAAGAGCACCTCCAGCCTCTACCTCACAAGGGGTGGGATTGCAGACATGAAGCACCATGTCCAGTTAGAGGAGATTACTTTTCATCGATTCACTTATTCAAGGGGTCGATGAAGAGTCTTACCGGGAAGACCGAATTCTACACGAATCCGTTGACTTGGACTCTGCCAAGTCCTTTCGTTTATTCCCACTGGTGCATTTTCAACACCAGGAGGCGCTGTGGTCGCACTGGTTTTTAACTACCAGGTAGTCAGTCATAAACGGCCCAAATGGACACAGGTCAGGGTATGGCTCCCATTACCCGCTCCCTCAAGAGTTCTCTGCGTGAATCTGTACGTGAGACAGCGTGTGTGTGTGTGTGTGTGTGTGTGTGTGTGTGTGTGTGTGTGTGTGTGTGTGTGTGTGTGTGTGTGAGAGAGAGAGAGAGAGAGAGAGAGAGAGAGAGAGAGAGAGAGAGAGAGAGAGAGAGAGAGAGAGAGAGAGAGAGAGAGAGAGAGATGCGTGAAGGGAACGTCTCTTGCAGACATGCATGGGTTTATAAAGCTGCAAGCTACATTTCTCGCTCCCAGTCCTATCATCATCTGTGACTTGAAGCACGTTGCTTTTTCTCCGTGACTCGAAATGCAGAGTGAGCTGAAGACTTCCTAGATTTCAGGCTCCACGCGTCCCTATCCCCCATCTCCCTAGCATTAAACGCACACTCCAGAAGAGAGACTGAACCTTGAGGTTTTTCCAACTGGATCAGTCTAGTGCACGCCCAGCTCTCGGGGACCTTGAGTGAGGTTCTCAGTTCACCAGTGGTGGGAGGGTGAGCCACGTCCGCCCCTCCGGGTACCCGGACCCCCAGCACCCTTGCGCTCTCCTCGCACTTTCTCCACTCGCCTGGATCTCCATTGCTGGTGAATGATGTAGCGGAGAGGTGTGGAGGGGGCGGGGAAGGGGCCCGGAGGGGAGGGGCGAGGGAGCGCTGTCACCGAGTGTCACGCTGCCCCTCCCGCCCTCCACCCGGGGTGGGGGCGTGGAGCGCGGGAGGGCGGGCTTCTCCGCCCGCCTCCCAGCACCCGGGGCGCGCTGGCCTCCTGAACAGGGCGCGGAGCGCGCAGCCCAGAGCCGGCAGCCGGCTGTTGCCTGCCCTCGTGTCCTGGGCGGCTGTCGGGTTCCTGGAGAGCGCGTCCAGCCATGGAGCCTTTGCACAAAGACGCCGAGACGGCGGCGGCGGCGGCGGCTGTGGCAGCGGCTGACCCCCGGGGGGCGTCGACGTCCAGCGGGGTGGTCGTGCAGGTTCGCGAGAAGAAGGGCCCCTTGCGCGCCGCCATCCCCTACATGCCCTTCCCGGTGGCTGTCATCTGTCTCTTCCTCAACACTTTCGTGCCGGGATTGGGTAAGAAGTGGGGGGCAGGGGGCGACCCTTGTGACCCTTGTAACCCCCCGCGGCCCCTATGACCTGGGCTGCCTGCTGGGAAGTGAGCAGGGCAGGGACCCGTGGGTGTGCCCACCGGCCTCAGGCTGTGTTCCCACCATTGGTCTTCTGGCAGGTGGCTGATGCCTGTGGAGTGGGCATCCTGAAGGAGAGGTGCCACGTTGGGGTCTCTGACCCGCAAGCGAGGTGGCCAGGTAGAGAAGAGCTAGAAACCTGGAGGAGAATCTTGGAATCTCAGGCAGGAACCCGACGGCTCCCTGGCTCCAGGCTAGGCTACGGTCCAAGCGAGTGGGATCTTGATTCTTCTTCCCTATCAAGCGCGTCTCTCTGTGATCCCACTACTTCAGGAAGAAAGGAGGCAGGACAGGAGGAACTCATGGCTGTGGTTGGGGTTGACCAGGCTCCAGGGAGTCTGAGAAGTCGACTGAGCTGGGGGGAAGGGGACACACAGGCTTAGGAGACATACTGTACCAGGTCATACTTTCGTACGGTGCGGAGCCTGTGGGGGTGACAGCTCTTTGGCCAGAGTCTTTTTCAGGTGCCTGCATTTTTGCCAGAACCCCCGCTGTGCACTGAGGGAAAGGGGGGGATGATTTTATTATTTAGTTTACACGCATGTGGATTTGGACTGCATGTGGCCAGAAGTGAGTCTGTAAGAAAGTGGAGAACGCTCCCCAGTAAGTCTGTGGGGCTCTGGCTGCCTGGACACACCCTAGTGGCATCGCTATCCCAAAATAGTGCCTAAGGGTGAGTAGAGGTAGAGAAGGAGAGCTTTCCGGACGGATCTCTTCTCGCCAGACCCCAATCTCTGACTGCATGCCCCTCCCCCACCCCAACTTGACTGCTTGCCACCAGTGGACCCTGCACACCGAGGAGATACCCTCCGCAGCAGCGTGCTGGTCTGGCAAAGCAGGCATCCTATGCGTTCTCCAGAGAGCCCATCTCTGCCAGCCAGCCAGTTGCCTGAGCATGGCTGCAAGTTCCCAAAAGCAGAGGTCAACGAGAAGTGGCCTTTTGCTTCACTCTGGCCTTTCTCACGGCCTCGCTCCTAGCAGGCTCAGCAGGGACCTCTTCTGTGGTGATTTTAAGGGCCACACCCACTCAGCCGAACCTGTTGGTTTTGCCTCTATGATGCTTAAGTCTTTCTGTCCCTGAGGGATGCTGTGGCTAGGAGTCCTGTCTGAGTAGAAAGTCAGAGCCTTTAGCTGGACTTCTCCCTTGAAAGATGCTTTTAGCCCCACGTTTGATGTCATCAGGCCAACTCTAAATGATACTGCTGGGGGGGGGGCGCAAGCTAGTGTTAATTTCCACCCATCAGAAACGTCCACCTACTGCGGTAAAGAGAAACCTCTTGCCCGTCTCTCTGACACACCAAGATCACAAGGCAAGGTGCATCTTGACAGAATCTTTTTCTAAGTGTTGAAATGAACATGTCGTAGGCTTTTGAGAAAACACATGTTGTGGAGTCAGGTGGGCAGGGCTGCACTGAGCTGCTGCTGGAGAGGAAACCAGCCCTCGGAGGTGGCAGGGTCCACCTGCTCGAGACGTACCAATGCATGACCTTCTGGTGTGAAGCACTAGGGATTTTCCTACACTAAGCCTTACTGCTATGAAAGCATCCTTTCTACTCACCTCTAAAACCTTACGCCAGGGATCTAGCTTTCTCTCCTTCACAGCTCCCTTTGTAAAGTCAGAATTTTGAGGGAGTTTTACACACAACACACACACACACACACACACACACACACACGCACACGCACACGCACACGCACACGCACACGCACACATCTTTCTAAGAAAACTGGATAAAAAGAAATAAGCAACTACAAAGAAATAACAGGCGAAATGTGGTCCACAGACTTGAATTTTCAGCAAGTTAACTCAGGCTACTACATAGTTTTTCTGGGTGTGCAGGCCTTGGACCTAGCCACAAGGAATGGGAGATCTCAAGCCCTTGGTAGGTAGGGCTTCTGATCTGTAAGTTTGAGATGCATGGTTCTCTAGGAGACTGGATTAATGAAATGTGAGAGGTTAAAGCTGAAGGCTTACTATAAAAACTCTCTCTCTCTCTCTCTCTCTCTCTCTCTCTCTCTCTCTCTCTCTCTCTTTCTCCTTTTTTTCTTTTTCAGATAAGTTCTTGCCATATATTCCTGGCTGTCCTGGTACTTGCTAGGCAGCCCAGGTTGGCCACAAGCTCAAAGCAATCCTCCTGCCTCCGATTTCTATGTGCTGGGATTATTATAGGCTTGCACACTGCCACCCTCTGCTTTACCCCTGTTTGTCTCATCTCTGGGTAGGGTAGCGTAGCTGGTCCAGTGGCAGCTCTGCTTCTGAGCGCTCCTCATCTTTCTGCATTCCTCTGCACCTGCATGGTGTCCTGAACCCCAGAACACAGACCTGGAAGGCATTCTTCCCCCTGCCTTCCTGCTACCTCCACTGCCCTGGTTGGGGAGTGGTTTGGATGGTCTCAACTCTTGGAAGTCCTCCTCTTGGCTCAGGTCTGCTTCTGCTAATCCTTCTGGCTTGTTCAAAGCTCCAGAGACAACTGAATACTCAGGCTGCTTCTTCTACTCTTTGATGAAATGCAGCTTCTAATCCATCTACCCATTCATTGGGCCAGCACAGGCGTCACCATATGTCAGGCACTGGGGATGTGGGGATGAATAAAGCAGCCAAGACCAAGGCCTGTGCTGGAGAATTCACATCAACTTTGAATTTGCTCAGTGTTAGGAGGGCAGCAGGAACAGAGGGTTTTAGCAGCAGTTCATTCTCCCTAGGGGTGGAGTGGGCCTGTTAGAGGATGCTTTCCGGAGAAGCAGTTGTAGGAAAACTCATCCTGTGGCCCCGCACACTGCTCTCGATAGCACCCACCCTCTGGAAACTGCTCAGACCACAAAGGCTCTTCCTTTCTTCTGGGAATTTCCTTTCTTACAAGTTCTTTCTTTTTTTTGCCACAAAGATGGGAGCTGGCATTGGCTGAATGAAAACTACCCACCACCCCGTGTTGCTGGTTACTCAGGCCCATCAGTCCATGAGATCCACCTTGCAGGAGCCATATCCTTTAAATCCCCCAGGCTCCTCTCCATCCGTGCAATGGTGTTCCTCGGATAAAAAGGTCTAGCCATAAGAGTGATGCTCCCTGCCTGGGGCAGGCTTGGGGAGGAGAGATGATTTATAATCACTTCCCGTTGTCACAGTGAAAATGTTTATTCATTTATTTTTGTGGTGTTGGGGATCAAACCCAGGACTCTGCAACGTGCTAGACAAGCACTCTACCACTGAGCTACACATCCAGGCTGAAAAATAATTTTGTCAGATGGTGACGTGATGGTGAGGAGAGACATCTTCATCCCAATCCAGATAAACTACTGATAAAGGCAATTGCCAAGTGGTGTGTGTGTGTGTGTGTGTGTGTGTGTGTGTGTGTGTGTATGGAAGTTAATTGTTGTGCCCTAAAATGGTCTGAAACATGTCTTTTGATGAAGGGTATCATTATGCTGCCATATTTAAAAGTTATTGCCTGCTGTGATTTGGTGAGATAAAACTGTTGATGACTCAGAGAGAAAGGGCAGGTTAACATGGAGGCCTCGTCCACTGATCATTGGCTACTCCATCAGACCTAATGCTGGCCGTCAGTCTACTGCTGACTGTCACATAAACATTTATCCCTCCCCTAACTCACTGCTTATACTCTGACAGGACAGAGGTCTTAGTTCAGCAGGGATGCCTCAGGCGGGCTCAGCTTCTAGTTCTTTCCTTTAGCCCAAGGATCAAATTGATAACCAATCAGCCCCTACCTTGCAGTGCCTTTTGTATTGATGACTTTCTGTTACTAGTTTGAGAGTTTATATGTGTTCATCTAAAGAAACCTCAAATCCCTCGAGAGTAGCAACTATTTAAAATTTTCTCTTTGAACTCAGAAGCTATAAATGGACACATATTGACAACATTATACTCTTGGAATAGATGTTAAGAGCACCTGGCCCAGCACCTTTTTTAAATACATACATGAAATAGGTTGGAGGAAGCAAGAACCTGGGGGGTTTATCTCCTACTCAGATCTCTTAAGGGAGTTACTTGAAAATGCTTCTTCAGCAGAGTAAAGAAGTATCTGTAGGAAACCGTGAGCTCCAGGAAATAGCACGTCCTACTAAGACAGGGGAATGACGCCTATTTCTCCCTGGGGCACTGGGCTAGTGCTAAGCATGGCTAAAAATCTGTTAAGATCACAGTTGGTTTTAATGATAAGGAAGCTGACTGCTGGACAGCTGAAGAGAGAGCATCAGAAGAAGGCAGCTAAGGCAGAGAGAAGGCAAGGGAGGGCAGCAAGCTGAGGCTGAAGAATGATGAAAGACTGCGGAGGGCCAGAGAAGAGACACCACAGAAGTTTCGGAGAGTTGTAAGGTCTTTGGGGCCAAAGGTCTCAGGCCCTGAGTCAAGAGCTCTGACACTGGCTAGTGTTAAAGGCTAAATAACCCAACTTCCTAGGTCTAAAACAATAACAAAACAATAATACTGTTATCTATACAATATACAAGGCCTATACAAGGGCTGCAACACTAGAGGGCTAAGGATCTTGGTACTGGAGGCCTGAACGAAAACTCAATGGAAAGGTGCTATCTGTCGTTGCCTGCTGCCAAACACTGAGTGGGAAATAAAAGCTGCCAGTGGCCAGGGTTCAAGAACTTCTTGCCTACTCATGGCTTCTACCTGGGTAGAGCAAAAATACCATCCAGCTGACTGGCAACACTACTCAGGCCAGCCAGGAAAAGCAGCCGAGAGATGAGCTTGCTTAGCAGCCTAGAAGACAGTCAGTCTTCATTAGCATAGGAGAGGTGGAGGGCCCCATTAAAGAGGTCTCTGAGGGTGACATGAAACCAGGACATTCCACACAGTAGAGAGTATTGCTGGGGAAAGCACAAGAAATTAAGATCTTAATGGGAAAAAAAGAATGCAAACAA